TCCACCATTGGCAGCTGCTCAGCCAGGGAGGGGCCACCGAAACACCTCTTAAGGAGCCACTTCGCCCGAGGTGACCACAAATCCTGCAGAGCCCCGGAGAGTTGCTCAAGCTTCAACGTGACATCACAACTGTGTAAGCGGGAGAGCTGGGAGGGTTCGGGTGGACTCTGCCAAGAGATATTAATTCTAAATCTGTTTTTTTAAATCTACATGCTTTTATTCAGCGGTTCGAATCGCTTGATTGCGCTGCTGCCCACAGCCCAGAGCTGCACAGGTGAGTTGGGGGCCGTAGAAAAGTTAGGTTTAAAAAGTGACAGATGGGCAGGAGTGGGACAGATCTGGGGGTCTCTGGCAGAAGGGGGTGGGACCAGGGCTGAGCCCATCAAACCGGAGATGTGAAGAAGGCGAGGGCCATTGGCTGGCCGCTTCCAGGCGATGGTGCATTTCTTCCTCCCTCACCAAGGGTGACCCCTCCCCAGCATGCACCCAGGGGGCGGGGCCGACGCAGCAGGGGCTAGTTCCTCGCTGTTTCCAGACGACCTTGTGGAGCTAAGACCGAATGCGTCTCAGCATAGATGGCCGCCACAAAATTGTACATTGGCTCCCGGCTGGCCTGGGCCAGGGCCAAGGCAGCGGGGGCCGTTCCCTCGCTGTTTCCAGGATGGCTTCGGGGGCCACATGAAACCACTTCGCGGGCCTTGTGTTTGACATGTCTACCCTATAACATGAACGAATGGCAACATTTGCAAGGGGGGGCAGTGTGTATTTGTGGGGTGATTTCACGGGGCTGCCATACAGATTTGTTCTCTCCAAATGGACCGACCTGAATATTCACGGTTTATTTTTCGGTCTTATTTTGCATCCTCTTGAGCTAACATTGGCCACAGCTGGAGAGCTCCTTAAACACCAGGTGTATCTTTCAACGTCTAGAGTGCATCAATAATCACATCTGTGCCATTTTTATCTATTTATTAATTAGTTAGAAGGGACCGTGGAGATCTTCTAGTCCAACCCCTTGGTCAAGGAAAAGACCCTTACAGAATCATGGAATGACTCAGTTAGAAGGGACCGTGGAGATCTTCTCCAACCCCCTGCTCAAACAGGAGATCCTTACCGAACGCTAGAATGACAGAGTTGGAAGGGAGCCCGGAGGTCTTCTAGTCCAACCCCTTGGTCAAGGAAAAGACCCTTACAGAATCATGGAATGACTCAGTTAGAAGGGACCGTGGAGATCTTCTCCAACCCCCTGCTCAAACAGGAGACCCTTACCGAACGCTAGAATGACAGAGTTGGAAGGGACCGTGGAGATCTTCTCATCCAACCCCCTGCTCAGGCCAGAGACCCTATGCCATTTCAGACCGTCCAGTCTCTTGTTGAAAGCCTCCAGAGATGGGAGCACCCACCACTTCCGGTGGCAATCAGTTCCACTGGTTAATTGTCCTCACCGTCGGGAAACTCCGCCTTAATTCCAGGTGGCTTGATGGGTTTCCATCTGTTGCTTCCTGTCCTGCCTTCTGGTGGCTTTGGACAATAGGGTGACCCCCTTTTCTTCGTAGCAGCCCCTCAAATACTGGAAGACTGCTGTCATGTCACCCCCGGTCCTTTTATTCTCCAGATCTGCCCTTCCCAAATCTTGCAACCCTCCTTCGTATGTTTTAGTCTCCAGGCCTTTAATCATCTTAGTCGTTCTCTTTTGCACCTTTACCCAAAGTCTCAACCTCTCTTTTTTTGTAATGTGGGGACCAAAACTGGACGAAAGGTTCCAGGTGTGGCCTTACTCAGGCTATACAAAGTGGTACTAATATTTCACCTGACTCTGATTCTATGCCTCTGTTTATACAACTGAGGATTGTGTTAGTTTTCTCGGCGGCGGCGGCAAGGAGGAGGGGGAGGAAGAGAGAAGGGTCTGCCGCTTGAGGGGGGGGGATGGACTAGAAGACCTCCAAGATCCCGTCCAGCTCTGTTGTTCTGGCAAGGAGGAGGAGGAGGAGGAGGGTCTCCCGTTTGAGCAGGCGACTGGACTAAATGACCTCCAAGGACCCGTCCAACTTTTATTTTTATTATTATTATTATGGATTATTGCAAAGTCAGCCAGATGTTCAGACTGGATCTGGCAATTTTGTCTACCTATCGAGTCCTTACCCAGGACCTGGGATAGGCAGATGTGGATGTTTGATGGTATTACAGATATCGTCGCAGGATGGAAGCAGTTCCTAATAAGGCCGCCTTTTGCATTTGACTAATGGCGAATTTGTCAATGCCAATGGTGTTCAAGTGGTGCTCCAGTTGTTTTGGGATTGCACCCAAGGAGCCTATGACTATTGGTACTACCCTTGCTTGCCTTTGCCACAGTCTTTCTATTTCTATTTGTAGGTCTTTGTATTTTGTTATCTTCTCCATTTCCTTCTCGTCTATTCTGCTGTCTCCAGGCACTGCCACGTCCACTATCCAGACTTTTTTGTCTTTCTTATCGACAATTGTTAAGTCTGGGGTGTTCTGTTGCAGGTGTTTGTCTGTTTGAATTCTGAAGTCCCAGAGCAGTTTAATTTTATCATTTTCTATGACTTTCTCTATTTTATGATCCCACCAATTTTTGCTTACAGGCAAATGATATTTTTTGCCGATCTTCCAATGCACCATTGTTGCTACTTTGTCATGCCGCTGCTTGTAATCAGTCTGTGCAATCTTCTTGCAACAGCTTACCAAGTGGTCCACTGTTTCTTCAGCTTCTTTGCATAGGCGGCACTTACTGTCTGTTGCTGTCTTCTCAATTTTGACTTTGTATGCATTTGTCCTTAAGGCTTGGTCTTGTGCAGCCAGAATTAGTCCCTCGGTCTCTTTCTTCAATTTTCCTGCTCTTAGCCATTGCCAGGTTTTATTGTTATCTGCTTTCCCAGCTATTTTTTTCATGTATTGGCCATGTAGTGCTTTGTCTTCCCATGCCTCTATTCTGTTCTTCATTTGGTCTTTCTTGTAGGCCAGTTTGGTCTCTCCAGTAGTTAGTAAGCCTTCCTGATATACTAATTTCAGTGCATCTTCATCATTGTTCTTCAGATATTCTTCCAAAGCCATTTTTTCTTCTTCAACCATCTGATGTACTTGTAGCATTCCACGCCCACCTATTTGCCTTGGTAGATAAAGTCTATCAATGTCACTGCGTGGATGAAGGGCATGATTCATTGTCATTATTTTTCTGGTCTGCCTATCCATTGCTTTTAGTTCTGCTTGAGTCCAGTCCACTATTCCAGCTGTGTACCTAATGACTGGGATTGCCCAGGTGTTGATTGCCTTTATGGTATTTCCTCCATTGAGTTTGGATTTAAGATCTTCTTCACTCTCTTGATGTATTCACCTCTAATCTTTTTCTTGACTTCAGTGTGCTTGATGTTGTCAGCTTGAAGGATACCCAAGTATTTGTAGTACTCTTCCTCATCCAGACTTCTTAATGTTATTTTCGTGGGGCATCTTGATTCCTTCAGTTTTCATTATTTTTCCTTATTTGATAGTAAGTGTGGCACATTTGTCCAAGCCAAACTCCATTACAATATCTTGGCTATATATACGGACAGTGTTGAGCAGCGATTCTATTTCAGATGATGTTTTTCCATACAGCTTCAGATCATCCATATAAAGGAGGTGGGATAGTCTGGCCGATGTTTTTGATGTTTGATAGCCAAGTCCTGAGTTATTCAGTATTGTTGACAGAGGAAACAGTGCAATAACAAATAGTAATGGTGATAATGAATCTCCTTGAAATATTCCTCTCTTGATATTAACCTCTCCCAGCCTCTCACCATTGATCTGCAACTGTGTCTTCCATTGTGCCATCGATCTTTGCACAAATTTTCTGATGTTTCTACTGACTCCTGTTATTTCTAGGCACTTTATTATCCAATCATGTGGCAGAGAGTCAAATGCCTTTTTGTAGTCAATCCATGCCACATTCAGGTTGGTCTTCCTTCTCTTGCAGTTTTCCAAGATCATTTTGTCTATTAGGAGTTGATCTTTTGTTCCTCTGCTATTGGGGCGGTTTCCTTTCTGCTCAGGTGGAAAGAGATTGTTTTCAACTAGATGCTGTTGCACTGCATCAGCTACTACACCAGTTAGTAATTTGAAAGTTGTTGGTAAGCAGGTAATTGGCCTGTAATAAGCAGGTAATTGGCCTGTATTATTATTATTATTATTATTATTATTATTATTATTATTATTATTATTATTATTATTATTATGGATCATCACACAGTCAGCCAGATGTTCAGACTGGATTTGGCATTTTGTCTACCTATCAAGTCCTTACCCAGGACCTGGGATAGGCAGATGTAGATGCTTGATGGTACTATTATTATTATTATTATTATTATTATTATTATTATTATTATTATTATTATTATTATTTGTCAACTCTCCTACCGGGATCTTGAGTAAGATCCCTTGGTCTGCCACCTTCCCTCTCGTGAATGTCAAGCCCTCCAGGGCTTGACATTATTATTATTGTTGTTATTGTTGTTGTTGTTGTTGTTATTGTTATTGTTATTATCATCGATCATTGCACAGTCAGCTAGATGTTCAGACTGGATTTGGCATTTTGTCTACCTATCGAGTCCTTACCCAGGACCTGGGATAGGCAGATGTGGATGTTTGATGGTATTACAGATCTCGTCGCAGGATGGAAGACGTTCCTATTATTATTATTATTATTATTACTATTATTATTATGAGACAGGACAGCCATTGGTCTGAAATGGTATAGGGTTTCCTCTCTGAGCAGGGGGTTGGACTAGATGACCTCCGAGGTCCCTTCTCACTCTGTCATTCTGTGTTTCTGTCAGGGTCTCCTGCTTGAGCAGGGGGTTGGACTAGAAGACCTCCGGGGTCCCTTCTACGATTCTGTAAGGGTCTCTTGCTCAACCCTTAAATTGTTGGATGTTTTATGAAGGCCACGGGTGGGTTTCATGCACAACTGTGGTTCCTCCTCACTTTATCTTTTCTCAGGAGTCAGCATGAAGATCCCGACCGTCCGGACGGTCCAGGTCTTGTGCCTGATCGGATTCTTCACCGGACCTTTGCAGGTACAAGGGGGCAGCTTCAGCCGTGGAAGCGTCCACCTCTTCGACTGGAGAGGGGCTGCCGGACAGGCAGGGGGCAGTCCTCCCCTCTCGGCTTGAGAAAAAAGCCACTTCCTGTTGTTGAAATCTTGATTGTATTTTTTTAAAAAAGGAGTTCTGCTTTCTTGGGAGATCGGGTTGAGGCAGGTCCTTGTCGAGGGTGAAGGAGGAAATCTGCCTGTGGGGCACTGTGAGGGCATCTAAACCTGGCCGAAGCCAGGGAGCAGGGTCCCTCCAGACAGAGCCACAGAGACCACGAGGTCCCCCCACCTTGGCGTCTTCTCCCTTTGGCTCATAACCGGACTTAGTTTCTCTCTGAAGCCGTCTCGCTTCACATCCAAGAAGCTTCTTCAGTTCGGACTGAATGGCGGGGAAGGAAAGGATATATTTTCCCTGACAGTCCTCTGGTCGTTAGTACTCTCCCTGAAAGTCGTGGAGGCCACTTGAGGCCTCCTGAGCTTTTCCGAGATTCCCGCGACATGTGGAATGGCAGCATTGCTTCATTGGTTATTGTTAATGTTGTTGTCATTGTTGTTGTTAACCAGTGGTGGGATTCGGCCGGTTCGGCAGAACCGGGAGCTAATTTTTTTTGTTGCCCAGACCCAGAAAGGACATCCAGAAGTGGCATCCCCACAGAGAACTGGTTGTTCTCATCTTTGAACCCCACTACTGTTGTTCACATTGTAATTCCATACGTTATGGCAGGGGTTCTCAACCTTTTTAATGCCGCGACCCCCAACCGGTCGTAAGTCGAGGACTACTCAACCGGTCGTAAGTCGAGGACTGCTCAACTGGTGCAGCACCGTTTGCAGAATGGGACTTTTGGCGGGCTCAGCAGGGCAGAGACAGCCTGGACAATTCCTATTGGCTTTTGAAAGCCAATAGAATTAGACTCTATTCAAGAGAGTCTATTCTATTGGCTTTCAAAAGCCAATAGAATAAAAGGGAGTAGCACAGCTAAGGAAAAGGGGGAAAAAATGGCGGACTGTGTTTTTTGGCGACCCCCGTGAAATGGTCGTTCGACCCCAAATGGGGTCCCGACCCACAGGTTGAGAACCACTGCATTATGGGAATATCCGTAAAGCTCAGGGGGATTGGGAGCACTTGGGGGAACGTAAACAATTTCGTTCGAGCCCCGAGCACCACAAGAGGGGGTGAGCTCCTGTCCTCAGCTCAGCTCCTAACAACCTAGCAGTTTGAAAACACGCAAATGAGAGTAGGTGAATAGGTACCACTTTGGTAGGAATGTGACAGCGCTCCATGACTTCATGACCATGGAAATGTCTTTGGACGGCACGGGTTCAAGGGCCTGGAAATGGAAATGAGCAGCGCCCCCTAGAGTTGGTAACGAAGAGTGGAGTAAAATCCACAGGGACTCCGTCCTCCCTGTGCTCTTTTGGGGGTTGAAGAAGGCACCTGGGCCAGCCTGGTTTCACCCAGCATTGGCTTCTTTTCATTCCTGAATGTCCTTCCGCACCTTCTCTTTTACCGCACAGGTGTCGTGTCTCAAAAAGATTCCCCTCGACATGTCCAAGAATTCCGTGGATGACCAGTATATTAACTGCCACCCCAAGAAGGAGTTCAAGGTGGAGAAGCCAGGATACCTTCCCATCCCGATGAAATATATGTCGATCTGGAATGCAGCCAGAGGCTACTGGGCCAAACTTGGACCAAGTGTCAGCAAAATCAAACCAATCTACGGCACTGCAGTTGTGGCTTACACAATGGGCGGGGGCCTGTACCGTGATTTCAACAACGCCGTCCGTGATGCCGGGAAATCGAAATACTCTTACACTCATTTTGCCTTCAAGGACTTCTTCTTCCTCCTAACCAGGTTTGTTCAGGCCAGGAAAATCACAGGCAAATGCTATGAGGTCTTCCGTGGGGTAAAGGGGATCAGTTTCAAAGTCCACTCAAAACAGCTTGTCCGCTTCGGGCAGTTCGCTTCCTCGTCTTTGGTCAAAGAGAAGGCCAAAAGCTTTGGCCAAGACACTTTCTTCTCTATCAAGACCTGTCATGGAGTGCCCATTTATGACCTCTCGTACTACCCGCACGAAAGGGAAGTTCTCATCCCGCCGTACGAGACGTTCGTTGTGACCCACCACCAGAAGACCCTAAAGGGGGTCGCCATCAGATTGAAGTCCCAAGGTGTTTCCAGCCGGTTCAACTGTGAGACCCTGAAAGGTAAGAGGCTGGAAGAGAGGAGAAGTTGGGGATCAGAGCATAGCTCCCCAACTGTTCCGGGTTGGTGGCTGGGGGGAGGAAGGCGTGGGAGGGAAAGGGGATGGTTGCATGGGAGAGGCAAGTATGTGCACAGACAATCGTGCATGAGCACCCATTGCTCATGCGACTGGAGCGGAGAGTAGCGATGACGTTCGCTCTAGTGAGGCCCCAAGCACTCGCATGAGTGGGGTTGCAAGCACCTACAACACTCACACGAGTGATGCCCCCGAGTGCTCACAATGCTCACGCAAGTGAGGTCCCAAGCGCTTGTGACACTCGTGTGAATGGGACCCCAAGTGCCCACGTCACTCACGTGAGTGGCACCAGGAGCACCCATGATGCTCAAACAAGTGAGCCCATGAGCACCTGTGATGCTTGCATGAGTGGGGCTTTACACATGCGCATGCCAGCCACTCATGTGGCCCACTTGTGAATAGGTTACAGACCGGTAGTGGGCTGCGGCCCACAATTTTGGGACCCCTGGTTCAGATGATCCCGGTAGCACCTCAGCCATTATCTGGGGCTGCTGGAGAACCAAGATAGTCCCAGACATGGACCAAATGTCTACGATGCTCAATCATCCAGGTCGTGATTGTTCTTGATGCAACCATGCTGCGTTTTTCTTGGTTTTCTCGTTCTTCTTTTTTAGTGGTATCAAACGAAAGCATTCCGGTCACAGACGAGGCCTCTCGGCTAAGGATAAAAATGAATGAATAAATAAAATGAATAAAAATTTCACTTGCTGTCACTTTAACCTTGCTGCCCCTCACCCCATTTTTGTCTCCACGGGTGTAGGTCACTAAACTCCAACGGGGAGGCCGTTCCTTCTGTGGGGTCTGCTTTGGACCTGGAGCACCCTTGGGTCTCCAAGAAGCCTCGGAAAACCTGGCTATCGAGGAAGAAGGTGTCCCTCGGAAGGAGACCAAGTGCGACACACAAAAAAGCCATTTATTTGGGGAGGGTGCAGTCTTTCTCTAGGGTGCAAGGATCAGGGATTGGGTACAAGTGATATGGGATGATTGTATTGGGAATCAACAAACCAAGCAATAAAAATCTTTGGTGTGCAATAGAAGCTTTGTTTTTGTTACACGGGAGGAAAGACAGACGCAGCTCACCGTAGGTTGCATCTGCTCCTTTTCCAACCAGATTTGCGTCCTTCTGGACAATTTGCAGCTTTAACTGGGGAGTTTGGAAGGCAACCCTATTGTTTGGCTGATGAAAAGGCTAGTTTGGGCCCTCTGAAGGAAATGGCTCTGACTCAAAAGAATTCTGAAAAGAACAGCTATTCATACATTGCTAAGAAAGAACTCAAAAACATTTACAAACTCTCTCACCAACAAACACAATTTGCTAGCTGCCCCCCAAGAACAGCCTTGTTGCTGTTACTGGGAAACAAAGGGAAGCTCCCTTTCATAAGCAGCTTGCCTTGGATCTTGTTTTTCCCTCACTGCTTCTCTCCCGGCTCGGGAGAAAGAACGGATCCGAACCGATTCTCTCAACAATTTGGCAACCACAAAGGGACTCCAAAGCTAAGCTGACCAAAGGATCAGGCCCGGGTTAAGCCTTCACTTTGCTGATGACCGACCCCTTTTGTCTGTGGGTGGGTTTTCCGGACCTTTCCCATTTGGAGAAACGGGAGTAAAGGCGATTTTGAGTCTTCTGCTCAAAATGCACTCGGAAAGAGGTAAGTACCTTCAAATTTTAATATTCTACACCCAGGGAAGTGAGGTGTGTGTGTGTGTGTGTGTGTGTGTGTGTGAGAGAGAGAGAGAGAGAGAGAGAGAAGGCAGAATAGAATAGAATGGAAGGGAAGGGAAAGGAACGGAATCAAATATAATGAAATGGAATGGAGTGGAGTGGAGTGAGATGGGAGGGGACGGGACAAAATACAAAATATAAATAAAATAATGGATAGAATAGGATAGGATAGAAAATGGAATGGAATGGCATGGAATGGAGTGGGATATGCAATATGCAATATTGAATATAAGGAATATGGAATGGATTATGGAATAGAGTAGAGCAGAGTAGTAAGTAAGTAAGTAAGTAGTAAGAAAGGCTGAGCCCCAAAGAATGGAGGCCTTTGGACTATGGTGCTGGAGAAGACTCCTGCGCGTCCCCTGGACTGCAAGGCGTTCAAACCGGTCAGTCCTAGAAGAGATCAACCACGACTGCTCTTGAGAAGGCCAGATCATGAAGTGGAAACTCAAGTCCTTTGGCCACCTAATGAGAAGGAAGGACTCACTGGAGAAGCGCCTAATGCTGGGAAAGATGGAGGGCAAGAGAAGAAGGGGACGACAGAGAACGAGGTGGTTGGATGGAGTCACTGAAGCAGGAGGTGTGAACTTAAATGGACTCCAGAAGATGGTAGAGGACAGGAAGGCCTGGAGGAACGTTGTCCATGGGGTCGCAATGGGTCGGACACGACTTCGCAATTAACAACAACAACATTAACAGAGGGATAGAATCAAGATCACGCGAAGTATTAATACCACTCTTCAATGCCTTGGTAAGGCCACACTTGGAATACTGCATCCAGTTTTGGTCCCCACGATGTAAAAAAGATGTTGAGACTCTAGAAAGAGTACAGAGAAGAGCAACAAAGATGATTAGGGGACTGGAGGCTAAAACATATAAGGAACGGTTGCGAGAATTGGGTATGTCTAGTTTTACGAAGAGAAGGACAAGGGGGGACATGATAGCAGTATTCCAATATCTCAGGGGCTGCCATAAAGAAGAGGGAATTAAGCTATTTTCCAAAGCACCTGAAGGCAGGACAAGAAGCAACGGGTGGAAACTCATCAAGGAGAGAAGCAACCTAGAACTAAGGAGAAACTTCCTGACAGTGGGAACAATTAATCAGTGGAACAGCTTGCCTCCAGAAGCAGTAAATGCTCCAACACTGGAAGTTTTTAAGAAGAGACTGGACAGCCATTTGTCCGAAATGGTGTAGGGTTTCCTGCCCAAGCAGGGGGTTGGACTAGATGACCTCCAAGGTCCCTTCCAACTTTACTATTATTATTATTATTACAATAGAATAGAATAGAATAGAATAGAATAGAATAGAATAGAATAGAATAGAAAATATGGAATGGAATGGAATGGAATGGAATGGAATGGAATGGAATAGAATAGAATAGAATAGAAAATATAGAATGTAATATGTAATATATAACATGGGAAATGGAACAGAAGATAAGAGAAGAGAAGAGAGAATTTAGAATAGAATAGAACAGAATAGAATAGAATTAATAGAACATAGAATAGAATTTAAAAAGAATATAGAATAGAATAGAATATAGAATAGGATTAAAAAAGAATATGGAGTAGAATAAAACAGAATAGAACAGAATAGAATAGAATTAATAGAATATAGAATAGAATTAAAAAAGAATATAGAACAGAACGGAACGGAACGGAACGGAGTGGAGTGGAATGGAGTGGTCTATTATTTCTGATTTTTTAAATATAAATTTCTACAGCACCCAACTCACTTGGGCAGCTCTCGGCCTCTTGCAGGAGTGTAATAAAGCAATTCAATCCCCTGAATAAAAGCAGAGATAAAAAAAAAAAAGCACCAGATATTTCTTGGCGCATTTCACCCGAACCCACCTTGGTCTCCAACTTACAAGGAAGTGGTGACATCAGGTGGCGCAACTCCCTTCCTTCTATGCACTGCAGGATCGTGGTCCCCTTGCCACAAAGAGGCTTCCTCAGAAGTGTTTCGTCGGCCCCTCCCCGGCCGAGCCGCTGCCAATGGTGGAGAGGGCAACCCAGGTGAGGCCATTGGGTCAGGAAGAGCACCGTCCAAGAAGAAAAGGGATGGGGGGGGGACACGAGGAGGAGCGAGCAAGCGAGCAATTGTGGTGGCACCCCAGCCCCCAGCTCTGGTGGGAAACCCCTGGGCTGGGGGAAGAATGGGTCATCTGTCAAACTAAGGAGGAAGCAAAGAATGAAGAATGGAAGGGAAGGGAATATGGAATATAGAACAGAACAGAACAGAAGAGAATGCAGTGGAGTGGAGTGGGACGGGATGGGATGGGACGAGACAGGACAGAATAGAAAATATAAATAATAGGGTAGGGTAGGATAGGATAGGATAGGATAGGATAGGATAGAATAGAATAGAATAGAACAGAACAGAACAGAACAGAACAGAATAGAATAGAATAGAATAGAATATAGGATAGGCTAGACTAGACTAGACTAGACTAGACTAGACTAGACTAGACTAGCCTAGACTAGACTAGAATAGAATAGACTAGACTAGAATAGAATAGAATAGAATAGAATGGGATGGGATGGGATGAGATGGGATGGGATGGGATGGGATGGGATGGGACGGGACGGGACGGGATGGGATGGGATAGGAAAAGGAATGCAATGGAATGGAATGAAATGGGATATGGAACATGCAATATGCAATATGCAACATTGAATATAAGGACTATGGAATGGATTATGGAATAGAGTAGAGTAGAGTAGAGTAGAGTAGAGTAGAGTAGAGTAGAGTAGAGTAGAGCATTATGGAATGGATGGAACAGGAATTGGGAATAGAATGGAATGTAGAACAGAACAAAATGGAACAGAATGCAGTGGAGTGGAGTGGGATGGGACGGGATGGGACGAGACAGAACAGAATAGAAAATATAAATAATAGGATAGGATAGGATAGGATAGGATAGGATAGGATAGGATAGGATGGGATGGGATGGGATGGGATGGGATGGGATGGGATGGGATGGGATGGGATAGGATAGGACAGGATAGGATAGGATTGGATAGGATAGGATAGGATAGGATGGGATGGGATGGGATGGGATAGGAAAAGGAATGGAATGGAATGGCATGGAATGGAGTGGGATATGGAACAT